TTTAATTTAATTTTATCAGTTTTATTTTATTTTTTATTTATTTAACTTAATTTAATTTAATTTGACATTTTTACATGTTATAAATTTTTTTATTATACTATATTTGTTTTAATTTATTTTTTAAAAGTTTTTATTTTATGTTTATTTTTTATTTTATTTTGATAAACAGTAAGGGCATTTATGACCATTAGACACGTGAGCTGCTTTGTGTTGATAGTAGGGATCTTGATCAGCACACTCTTTGACCCAGTGTTTATCATGATCCCGTGGTTATTGAGGAACTCAACTGGGTCACCACACTGTTGTATAAATTCTTACATGATCATCACACGCATTGTTCTGCCTTCTTCTTTCTTTACCATCTTGATGAAAAGAGCAGGATGCCATTGATCACTGTGGTTCAAGACATGGAAACCTAATATGAATGATGTGAAGGCAATACGGCACCAGCGCTGCTATATTTAGCTGTTGCCTGAAGGGTGTGTGTGTGTGTGTGTGTGTGTGTGTGTGTGTGTGTGTGTGTGTGTGTGTGTGTGTGTGTGTGTGTGTGTGTGTGTGTGTGTGTGTGTGTGTGTGTGTGTGTGTGTGTGTGTGTGTGTGTGTGTGTGTGTGTGTGTGTGTGTGTGTGTGTGTGTGTGTGTGTGTGTGTGTGTGTGTGTGTGTGTGTGTGACTTTATGACATGCATGCTCTTCCTCGCTTGAGTCCTGCATCTGTCAGGGAAACACTGCTTTGTTAGGACTTACCCTGTATACTTGCACTACTTCCTTCTTGCAGACATGAACAGAGTTTAGTACAAAAGTGTGAACATATTTTGAAAATATATTCACATTAATGGAGGTAATTGATTTAGTCAGTTTATTTGCATGTATTTAAGCTAATGGGTTTATTATATATATATATATATATATATATATATATATATATATATATATATATATATATATATATATAAATATATAATGTCTATTATTATATATAAATAATAATATTTATTCAACAATACAGATTTTGATAAAAATTAAAATATATTTATAACAATTATTTATGATTTTATTAATAAATAATCAAAATTTAAACACTTATTCAATTATTTTGGGTGAACTATTCCTTCAATTGATGATTGTGTTAGTTGATAATCGAATCATCGATTTTAAGTTTGTTTATATACTTGTTTATTTAAATATATATATATATATATATATATATATATATATATATATATATATATATATATATATATATATTCCAATGTCTCCCTTTGCGTTGAACTTTGAGAGTGTTACATTCATAGATGTTGTTTATGTTCACACAGCCACATTACACATCAACTAAAGTTTAAAATATGATATTGTAGTGGATCACATCTTTAAAAAAAGTTACAAGTATACACCAAAATGAGTGGAACAAACGAGTAAACAGCTGTCAGGTAAACTAGTCTGTGGTGAGTCCAGTGGGACGAGCCTTCATCAGTTTTCACCAGTGACATCCTTTACTCTGCCCTGTCCTCATTCTGCTCTCAGAACAGCTGGACTCTGGCCCTGCGTTTACAGTATTGAATGTTTATCTTTTGTGGAGAAAGTCTTGCCAGGTTGTCTATCAGACTTGGCAGTACATCACAACATCTGTGGCCTTGTCAACAGTGGCGCAGTGGTACTGAACCGGTTATTTTAGGATCAACAGAACCGTCGGTCAATAATTCAGCTCAACCGTCATTGTGGCTCTGGCAGAGATTAGGGTTTTTGTTTGCCATGATAATGAGTTTACTTTGAGGTCATGACCCTTCACGGAAACAATAAGGGGTCAAAGTGATGGTTTTATTAACCTTTCAACTTCCACTCTAATACAAAAAATGTATTAGATATGGATCTAATACATCTAATACATGGTAAACATCATTCTAAGCAAAGTAGGTCTATTTAATTAGTTTTTATTTTTTGTTTTAATGATAACCTATGGCTAAAAGTTTAACAAAACCAATTTAAAAGCTGAATGCCTGGATTTATGAATTTAGATGTACAGTGCTCAGCATAATTGTACAGTACACCCCATTTTGAAAATTAATATTTTTATCAATTTCTCAGTGAATATAGGTAATATATCTTGGTACATTTGAACAAAACATATTTATTAAATAGATATGTTTATCAAAATAATATTTTGTCACTGAAAATCTTTAGAAAATAGAAAGATAATACATTTAAACTCATGCAAAATATTGAGAATTAAATTACAAACTGCAAAATTTCAACAAAATGTTTTTTGTTTCTCTTGAATTTTGCACTTTTTAAAGAATTTTATTCAATATTTTTCCCGAACATATACATTTGGGTGTACTCATTAAATGAGATTTATAAGGAGTCTACTCGTATATGTTGTGCTCTGTATTGTGCTGTCTATATACTCTTTATTGCCTTTTATGCAAATATATGAATAGTTCTTCTGTTTTTATGCAGGTTTTGCTGTTTTTATGACTAATGTATGTTTCTCTTTGTGTTTCAGCAAATTTAACAGCAGATTTACGGTGGTTCAGGAGAGTTGCTGCTATTACAGAAATAATGACATAAGTGAGTTCAAATTAAGCAATTTTATGTAATTCAGTTTTCTCTGCATTTTATAACTTGTCAGCTATAAGGGATAAGTCTGTCATTGAATATAGACTTTTGATCATATATGTCTAGACAGTTATTTTAATGCCATTAGCTTGACAAAGTAAAAATGATGCTAAAAGGGGATGATTTTAATACAATTACAATTCATTGTTGCAGTCCGTTGTATGTTTCGTCCCCAATAAATGCAATAAAGAGCTTTGATCATAAAACAATGCATTAATGGAACTTCATCTGATCATCTTCGGATGATATATATTATTTGGAGATGTACAGTGAGGTGTTCTATTCATATTTGTGTAAGAAATCTGCTGTTCTGTTTTCAGTCTCTATATTGTCCATTTTTTACAGAGTTTTTAACTTTTCAGCTTATTATAAAATCAGCACCAGAGTTAAATAAATATCAGATTATTAATATTTGAATTTGGTGTATTAGTAAAATGTATGGCCAAATGTTAAATTAAAACCAAATCATTTAGTGGAAAAAAGTTAACTTCATATATAACATTATAGATGGCACAATGTCTATAAACTGTTCAGATGTATTTAAAAAATACATTTACATTTTACATGACAACAAAATTACTAAAACTTTAAATCAATTCAAACTGTAAAAGAAAGTATGAAAATAAATAAATGTATTAAAAAAATATCCAACTACTACTTTATTTATTAATAAATGTACAGTTAAAGCCAAAAAGATCAGCTCTCATGTGAAATTATTTAAACAATATTTCTAACTAATTTCTAGTTGTTCATTTTATTTTACTTGTTATATTTCATCAATTTTTTTCTTCAACTGTGTATAAGTCATGTTACAGACCTGACATCTGAAATGTATGGCGACAGCTTAGATTGTTTGTGTTTTTTGTTTGTTTTTTTCTCTTCAGGAGGTGTGCAGTGCTAACATGTGGTGCCTCCAGTCTCACACCCGACTGAAAGCTCATACACCCCACCGGGACCCTCAGCGGGCTTTTCAGCCTTGACCTCAGACTCCCAGAAACACTCATATTCACTCATATTCACCTTCTGTCTTCTGTCTGTCCTCAGTTGTCCTCTCCAGAGCTCCTTTCTTCCTTCACTACTGCAGGCAGGCCTGGAGGTACGTTTGCTTTTCAATCAATTATTCAAGTGTTTGTGCCTCATGCATCATTGTTACTTCTTAATTTAATAATTCAGCAGGTGCTTTTATCCAAAATGACTAGCAAATGAGAAAAAAACGCAAGCAATTCATCTTACTGGAGATGACAATATCACCATTGGGGCAATGTTAGCTACAATAGAGCAAAATAAAGACGTCAAAAATTGCACACAAAATACTTTTACAAAATACCATTATTTCTGCTGCTAATAAAGTATATTAGGAGTGTAACGATACACAAAATTCTCAGTTCAGAACATATCTCGGTTTTGGTTTCATGGTTTGGTTCAACAATCCTAAATGCTCGTTTTTTTTCTGCACGTTTTAAACCGGCAAAAGTGTTTTGTCACAATCGGCTACAGAGCTCAAAAGCTTTCTGTGATACAAAAGTACAAAATAAGTACAGTAATGAAAAATAAAACTTTATAACAACCCTCTCCTAAAGGCCGGTACACATCAAGCCAAAGATGGGCCGGCTAGATGGTTTGGTGTGTTCCACACGTCTCCTCTCGTCGGTGTAGCATTGGTCCTCGTTGTCCCGATTCAGCATGACGAAACGGCATCGACCGTTGACATTGCATTAGTAAAGTAACGTATCAAGTAGGGCTGAGCGATATTGAAAAAAAAAAGATTACTATATCATGTTTTATATCATTCGGTATCCATAATTATTGAATATTTTTAACAATACATTTAGGAATATTAGAATTTTTTTTATTTAACCACTTTGTTTTAGTTCAACAACATTACAAGGGCACATAGTTTTAATAGTCAAAAGCAAAAATATTTAAACAAAATATCTGATCTCTTTATAATAAAATGAACTTAAGTGTTAAAGATACTCTTAAACTTGATGTATAAAATGTTACAAAGTGTGTGCAATGGTAAAGTGTAAACCCTGAACAATCGAAGCAAACTTTTTGGTAGATCAACATCTGTAAGATGTGAATAATAATGATACCGTAAACCTCAAACTCTGTTAACTAAACAAATGATGATAATCAAATGTGAGCTTTCAAGTGAAGGAACAACCATCATTATTCAAATGCATATTGCAACATTACAAATTGTGAAGTTGAATGACTACATTACCCCCTATGCTTAAACAAATCTTTCAGATGGGGAGCTAGTGGCTGGAATTCACAAGAAAATAAACCAAAAAGCCACTCTGGCAGCATCCTTACATGGTTTTTTATTTACAATCTCCTCACTGCTGTTATACGGCACTCATTTTTACATGTGTTGTTATTCT